GAACAAATCTGAGAGAGGTCCACATGTAGTACCTATATATGTAGTATCAAAGCGATTGGACTTGCGGTTTTTAACAAGAAGTCGAAAATATCACTTTTCACCAAAAATGACAAAAATATTCACCAAAATTAGAGAATTAAAGATATCATTACAAAATCAACAAATCTGAGAGAGGTCCACATGTAGTACCTATATATGTAATATCAAAGCAATTGCACTTGCGGTTTTTAACAAGAAGTCGAAAATATCACTTTTTACCAAAAATGACAAAAATATTCACCAAAATTAGAGAATTAAAGATATCATTACAAAATGAACAAATCTGAGAGAGGTTCACATGTAGTACCTATATATGTAATATCAAAGCAATTGCACTTGCGGTTTTTAACAAGAAGTCGAAAATATCACTTTTTACCAAAAATGACAAAAATATTCACCAAAATTAGAGAATTGAAGATATCAACATGAAATGAACAAACCTAAGAGAGGTCTACCCAAGGTACATATACACCAAGTATCAAAGCATTCAGGCTTGTAGTTTTCAAGAAGAAGTCGAAAAAGTAAAACATTGACACGGACGACGACGACGGACGACACCGGACAATCACTCGTATGATAAGCTCCGCTCGACAAAGTCGACAGCGGAGCTAAAAATACATATAACTATTGTACCAAATGTGTGGCTGTAAAAATACTAGTTTTGGAAGAGATAGTGTACAATTAATTGTACAACTAATTAATGAATTTTCGCTGAAAAAGCTTTTTGGGTTTTTTTGTATGGAATTTTCTTTTCACTGATTTTTGATGAGTTGAATGTGAGACACAGGAAAAACAAGTATATTTGCTGGATTTTGTATTCCCTGAAGCATCCCTTCAGTGAAAATAGTGAAAATAAATTCCAAGCGGAAATAAAGTATTTTACAGTAGTAATGACATGTTTATGTCTACATATGACCATCACTAAATGTAAAATAAAATAACTAAATTCTGCTTTACCACCAGAGTAATATGTTAAAACCAGGGCTGCTGATATAAGGAAGTACATGTAGTATAAGTTGGAGAGGAGGGATGTTGGTTACACAGGGCTGCTGATATAAGGAAGTACATGTACTATAAGTTGGAGATGAGGAATGTTGGTTACACAGGGCTGCTGATATAAGGAAGTACATGTACTATAAGTTGGAGACGAGGAATGTTGGTTACACAGGGCTGCTGATATAAGGAAGTACATGTACTATAAGTTGGAGAGGAGGGATGTTGGTTACACAGGTCTGCTGATATAAGGAAGTACATGTACTATAAGTTGGAGAGGAAGGATGTTGGTTTACACAGGGGATGCTGATATAAGGAAGTACATGTACTATAAGTTGGAGACGAGGGATGTTGGTTAAAAATGTTAACCTGAGTGCAAAAACAGGCACAAACGCTTGACACTGGCTAAGAACAGTTAATAAATCTGCTCCATTTTTATAACCTAGTCCACCTTAGCACAGAAATGAACAAATTTATTGACATTTTAAAAAATCACGACAAAATTAAGAAAAAATGATAAATTTTGTTTATCTAAATCAGAGAATCATTTCAAAGCGAATGAGAAAAATATGTTTTGAAGACAAAAAATAGAATTAAGACAATACATTTTTTTTAAAAAGTATGACTAAAATAAGAAAAACAGAAAAGCCCAATAAGATGTTATTTTAATCAGATTGATTCTTTATATAATTATTGCCATGTGCTTTCTCTGGTAAATAAAGAATGCGAACACTACCACAAGTGAGTTGGTCAGAATATTACAAATATATAGGCCTTTAAATTTGTCAGTTGTGGATTATACCAGCAATGTTCAAATTTTAATGCGTTTACATTGGTTCGGCGGTCACACGGGCAATGGCAGTCAGATTGCAAGTCCAAGAAGAAGGATATAAACATCCTGCAGGAAATGTGGCGGTGAACTTAGCGCTATTATTTGTAAACGACGGCTACAGTCCCCTACCCCTATTACAGCTCCCTGCCCTATTTAAATTAAAAGCCGAGACGTACTCCGTCACGGACGAATGACAATGTCTGAGACCCCGGACAACATATAGTGAAAGTGTGTTGCGTGCTGATATTAATTGTACGTGAAAAAACCAAAACAAAACGATACTTCCTCGTGATGATTCATGACGCCCCCATTCTCGATATTCCCTCATTTGTAAATAAACTTTATTGCCAATTCAGTACACGAATGCCCACGAATACAACGTTTGTGTCAGGGATTGTGATGAGAGTTTTCAAGGCGTGGGGATACTTGCTGTCAGCGAAAACTATTTATTCGTATTGACAGAAACGTGCGAAGCATGTAAACAAAGTTTAACAAGGTAACTAGTGATCAGACTTTCGCCATCACTCGATCGCTCACCTCTCTAAAAGTCCAGACTTCTTCGGTGTCAAAATCTTCTCAACGACAGCTAAGTTTCCTTTTCGGGCAGCTTCCAGGAGATCGTGTTCTTTCCCCATACCTAAAGTGTCATGTCGAAAATAGGCCGGGGATATTGAAGAATATATAAAACGTCAAACGTGTACGCGGAAGCTAAATCGAAGTAGACAAGGCGGCCATGTTGATTCCACTATGCTGCATTGGGACGGCCTTCAAAAGGTCCGGATGGCCCGGATGAGGGTCGCCTCCTTGATTTCTAGACAAAAGAACAACAACCAGTGTGACCCACGTCCTGTGTTGTATACAAATATGTTTACAACTATTTAAAAATACCGACCGATTTATGAGACACACGGCCACAAGGCAATTAATTGTGGGAAACTTCTTGAACTAAGTTTGGTACAAAACGAAGTTTGTTGTCGCAGTCCGGCGAAGTGGCCACAGAAATTCTGCGCACCGAATGCCTCGAATTTATTTGTTTGAAATCGCCCACATTATAAAAAGCTGATCGGTTATCTTTATTCATAAACGGAGTAGTAACATGAGTTTTATTGATTTTAATTACATGATTGTTCATAATAATAATAGTTTGAATTATTTCATATTTTATTTGACTAGTATATATTACACAATGGAACCGTTGAGGGAAGTGATATGAAGAGACTTTCAATACGACAAACCTTCCAGTCATGCAAGGTTTAACACATTTCATGAAATAAAGTTAAAATCGCGATGGCTATATACGTCCATGAAACTTTTGGTGCAACAAACTTTATAAACACCGGTGAGGGCGCCCTTCATTGAGATGCGCGACAGTGCTGTGGCCATCCAGAAAGACTGGTCAAACTAGCGACAATACTCAAAACTCTGCGTTAAAGACAAGTATAGATGCTATGTTTAGAAAACTATTTAACACGACTGATCCCGATCCGCGGTGTAGAATGTACAATGAAGTCAGAAAACAGCGCTTACTGTGCAATCTATGGGGTCGCATTAATAAACAGATTTTTGGTTTATTACATAAAATAACCGGAACTTTGGTATGTACATTTTTGTATTAATCATTGTAATCTTTGATCTGAAAATAATAAATTCATTTCAATTCATTAATACACAGAAATGTAATCCAACAATACGTTCGATAATCTGACCTAGTCTTAGTAACGGACAATATGTCCTGTATATTGCGTTTTTGCATATATTTATAGTATACATGTACACCAATCTGATTAAAACAAGATTCAAGTTTGTATGTTATTAATTCTTATTTTTTCATATATTTAGTTTTAATTATTTATATTAATTTGATAGCACTTTTATGTTAATAATTTCGGAAATGTCTGGAAGAGAGATCCAATTTCACGTGTTCTCCTACAAGTTTTCTGCTCTGTTTTTCATTCAGATGTTTCCTATGTTGAATGGTATTGTATAATATGAAGATGTAAAACTCCAATTCAAAGTACTTATTAAATTCGGTTGGTTATTCAGCTTGTACGTTTCATTGACTGGAGCCAGCATCGCATTGTCTGTGTGTTAGATCCGAAACACGGACCCAATTACGAAGGGGGTTGCTGATTTAGGTGAGAGGAGTTGGGCGGTAATGTTATTTAAATGTACATGTAAATGTACAAAAATATTTTGCTACTACATGTACCACAAATATCTACCACCAAGATTATTTTCTTTGATGTATAAGTTCCAGAATCATTCCCCGCTGTGTAGCATTGAAAGCTAGGACATATTTAAATCTTATACAGCCCTCGATATTTTCGCAGTTATCATCACCAGTGTTATGTTTTAATTTTTTTTTATAAGATCCCAATATGTGTTTGGGCTAGAGTACATCTTTTTTATTGGCGGCTTTAAAAGTATCGTTAGACTTCGTAGTTTCGTTTCGGACTACAGCCTGTTATGGTCGTCGTGATGAATTACAGCGGATTCGCCATGCCACCTGGTTAAAGCAATTAGGTCCAAACAATTCATGGATTTCGTCTTTGGTATTTCATTCCGTTTTTTTTATTTTGATAATTGTTTTCAAGTATTCGTTTCTGTTTTATAAAGACCGCCTAAGTGTGAAATACGGACTGTGTCGATCATTTACGTTTATTTGTATGAGCCCAGCATCAGAAAAGTATGATGGTGTTAGCGAACACCCAGGCTTTGAAACATGAACAACCTATGCCCGCCAGTTTTCGGGACGGGTGGAGTGGGAAGTCAGTAGTACCAGTATACCCGTCGCAAAGATGAAATAAAACAAAAAGATGCTATATATAATATAATATTTTATTGAAAAAACACAAGCAAACAAGAGACTGTATGCAAAGCTGGGCAAGTAAGACTGGTCTTACTTAGGAATACGTTTTATTTGGCGGAACGAAGCGGAAACCACAATTATTACGGAGACCAGTGTTATTGAACTCTAAATTGTCGATTGTCGTGTCGATTGCGGTCAGAATCACAGTAATTTGCAGATTTTCATCTTTGACGTCACCAATGAATTGTAGCGAATTTCTTATTTTTGTTTTTCATTTGCATCAAAATAATGGAACTTAAATGTGAACCATAATTCAAGTTAATTACAACCACTCAATCGAATAATTATAACAAAAACCAATGTTAAATGCTATACTGGGATCAGTGCTTGACTCTGTCTCTGAATTCTTTAAGTTTGCGTTTCTTTGCATTCTGTCTGCTTTCTTTCTCTTTCTCTTTTTTTCTAGCACCTACATCCCTCCCACTAAATATTTGATTTAGCTTGGCATGTTTTCTCAAGTAAATCTTGTGCGGATATTTCAAAACCACTGCAAATACTTACGATAGGTAGCATCGTGTGAATGAACAATGCAAATAAACAGAGGGGGCGAATTGTGATTCACTATAGCGCTAAACCCTATGCCATAGTGGCAATTTTTACTTGAAAATTGCTTCGAATGCTTATAACTAAGGCTACAATTCACCCCAGAGAGCAGCGAGACAAGGATGTAATCTCAGTCCACAGATTTTTAATTTATCAGTTGACGGTAACAGTGACAGTGCAAAAATATCTGTTTATCTATATTGTAATGAAAATTATAACAAATGAGTAGCACGACCGATCGAAACATTATTAATGTTATTAACATTCAGAAAAGAACACTAATAGCGCCCTCTTGGATTGTTTTATCGAATCAGGTGTTGAACAATGTTGTGAATTATCAGCAAGCTTCTTAAATTGTTGTATTTGCTAACAATTTGCCAGTTCTGACATACAGTTCACGAAATATATTCATTTTAAAACAACTATACCTAACATGGAATTTAAGACATACTAGAACTCCGCCCAGTGGCCTCACAAATCATTAAATTTGTATGTTTCATAAACTGATTTGCTTAATTAATGAGATTGTCTGAGAAATGCTAACAGAAATCAATGGATTTTTACGCAATATTATGTGCGAAGGCATTTTGTATCATGAAGTCTCAGGCTGCAGTAATTGGATTTGTGAATTTCGTCTTTAATCTCAAGTGAATACAAGCAATTTAAGCTAACAGCTAAAATGTCACCCGACTGTGCTATCCGAGAAGCTACCATCAAAATCATATCCGTACACAAAGTCATAACATGACCTTGAACTATATGTAGACAGGTTAACTGGATTGTGTACAACATGGCTGCAAGCAGATTGTTTGTCACTCGGTGTGTGTCACCGGCTTCACGGCTGCAGATCCTTTCTACGTCTAGACCAACTCTTCAGATCTCCACTCAACCCGCCACCGGGCAGGATTTCTCTCTCCTGGAAGCGAAACCTTTTGAGAGCATACCAGGTCCGCCAAGAAACATCCTTACGACAATTAAATCAACATACGACATGTTAGTCAGTGGAACTATCCGAAAACCATGGGTGTTATTCAAAGAGTTGCATGACGAATACGGCGATATTGTTTACAGCGGTTTTGGGTCGTCTTTCGAATCTGTTTTGTTGTTGGACCCGAAAGACGTTGAGAAAGTGCTAAGGAATGAAGGGAAATATCCGCGAAGACTTGAATTCACTCCATGGATAGCATACAGAGAATACAGAGGAAAGGCAAAGGGCGTACTGTTAACGTAGGTTTGTTTGTTATCACATATCATCGTAGTAAATTATAATATGTTATATCAGGTCTGTGTAATTTATTGACTTTTGAGCTCACGGGGTTGTGCACAACATTATTTAGTTGCTGGACCTGGAGATATTTTAAGCGAGATAAAATATGTTAATTCAATATGCGACACACAATTTTATTCAAACAAAACAGGTTCTAATTACGTTTATGAACCACTAAAATGAAAGAATTTCCCGAAACACTCTGAAAATACATTTATTTAATTGTGGTCTATGCAACCTGAACATCCAGGATTGCAGTTGATCTTCAATGCAGGTATAATTATCATGATCATAATCTTGGTTGAATTTACATTTGTCTTCCACATCATACATTCTTCTATCATTTCAGTACGGCCTGAGTTATTCAGAAGCTTTCTTGTATTATGATACTGCAATGTTAAAACATAAGATACAGTATACACACATACAATACACTGGACGAGAGAACAGAGAACACATTAGTTTGCATGTCGTTGCCGTTATTCGATGTTTGTGTGATATTTTAGTCACTTCTTTTGAAAATTGTCTCTTAAATGAGTCCAAACAATATGAAAGGATTTCTTGATCGAAATTTTCCACATTAAAAAACGAGTTTGAAAAGAAATTAAAATACATTTGTAGTTTTGTGCGTATTATTAAAAATGTGTTACCCGCGCTGAAATTGGACTAACCGAGTTACCGCGAAATAAACAAGACCCGGCTTTCGCGGTAACCCGGCTTTCGCCATTTATACATTCATATTATTTTATTGTAAAAAGCAACAACAAAAAATAAACAAGAGGCATATGTAAGTCTACGTTGAAAATAAGTTTTGGGGCGTTTAATTCGGTAGTGTAAACTCGGTCAGGAATGATATAGGCGTACCACGTGTTATTAGTGCATCTCATTACTGCGTTGATGTCATGACATCCGGGATATGTAAATTGCCATATCCTTGCATACGTAATGTAAAAGAAAACATCAAACTACAAAGGACATCAAATCTGAGGCTGAGGCCAATAGCCGCCATTTATCAACAACCGTTTTTAATATTTGTTACCGCATAGTGCGAGATCCCTATGTACTCGTTAGATCTCTAGGTTTCTGATGGCAGTGGAAATTACCAGCCAGCCAGTAATCAACTAGACAGCAAAATATGATATTGCTTCTGCTCAACTTTATCACTTCCTCCTCAAATTGGTTCGATGATCTGCTAATTTTCCATATTGCCTTTTTAGGGAAGATCAAATCTGGAAACGCAACCGTTTGGCAGTCAGTAAACGAATGTTACATCCCAAAGAAGTGGTTGAATATGCGCCGACTATTAATTCCGTGGTAACCGACTTTGTAGACAGAATGGAAAGAAAACGTCTCACAGATGAAAACTGTGTTGTACATGGCATTGAACAAGATTTGTTCAAGTATGCCATGGATGGTAAGGCTGAATTTCTTTATTAAAGTGATTCCGGTCCACATAATACAAATACATGAATACCCTGACGTCCAGTATTTCCTCAATAAATCATATACTTTCTGTTCACAATTTTAGCTGCAGGCAGTGTGTTATTGGATAGTCGACTAAAACTGTTAGACGATAATCTCCACATTGAAGAGGAAGCATTTATTGAATCTGTACATGCTATATTCGAAGAGTTTGCGCCGATGATGATGATTCCAACAAAATTACATAAGATGCTGAATACTAAATCTTGGAAAAGACACACAAAGGCTTGGGATACCATATTTCATTATGGTACGTTTAGTTGTTTTTTACAGTGGATATGACATAAGTCCCGAGATTCTATATAGAATTGCAAATTAATGGATCTAATTAATTAAAATGAATTGCAATTTAATTGTATTGAGTCTGAATTGTTGTCGTCACTATAATGGTTAATTACCTTTGCACATTTAAGCGTATTTAATAAGCTAATTTGCATATTTAATTGATATTAAGTTGATTAAATATACCTCGAACCAATACATACTAGTATGCAACGTTACGGTAGTGTTTCGATTCATAATACACTAAATTGAATGTAATTATTTGGTTATACCCAGCATGCTTTGCGACTAGTCTTTTAGCATGACTTCCTTCTAAGCTAATGTATTTCGTTTTTTTAGCAAAGAAATTGATTGACGACAAAATAAACAGAGTCTATGAAGAGCTAAAAGATGACAATCAGACAGAGAAAAAGGCAGATTTTCTGACATACTTAGTTCAGCAAAACAAAATAAGTGTGGAAGAAATATATGCTAATTGTACTGAACTATTGGCTGCTGCAGTTGATACAGTAAGTTTTTCATGTTTGTCTTAGTCTGTCTGTCTGTAACAAACGAACGGACAAACAAACAAACAAACAAACAAACAAACAAACAAACAGACATTCACACAATTAATAAATGTGTAATATGTTGTTAGTATCATGAAAGGAAACCTTGGTTAAATTTATGATTTTACTAATTCAACATTTTCCTACTTCCAGTGTATATAATTTTATATTTTTAATTATATAAATTAAGTGTAGGTATTTCCATTGCCTATAATCTATACATCCACCACAGAACAAGGCAGTTGTTTTCATTTGTATTTCAATCGATGAATGACACAATACTTAAAATTGAATTTAAAATTTTCTATATTACAATCACGCCTAAAAATATCAGAAGATGTATTGAAATAGTATTCCAGTATACTTTTTTACCTGTGTTTCCAATAAATTATCCCATTTAGCATTAAGTAATAGTGAAAACCTGAGATTTGTTTATGCATTTTCTTTATGAATTCATGAAAAAAAATCTTACCGCCCCTGGAGTTTCTTCCAAATAATGGCAAAGCAACTTATGTAATGGTCTGGCCTTAGAATGCCTAGTGGCAAGTGGGAGACTTGTCACGACTATAGTTAGAAGAGTTGGTGACAGATTGGTCATGTGAAATGTATTTAATATTATGCTGATACTATTAATTAATATTGTCAGACTTCCAATACGACGCTTTGGTGTATTTACATGCTGGCTAGTAACCCGGATGCACAGGAACGTCTTCACCAAGAAGTGAAAAAAGTCATTCCAGACAATGAGATACCAATGCCTAAACACATCGATCACATGCCATATTTGAAAAGTGTCGTGAAAGAAACATTAAGGTATTTATACAATCATCTTGGCCATTTGATTCTATATATAGTTAAGAACTCACAGTTTTGCCTTTATATGAATATTAGTTAACGCATGCATATTAATTTTAGTTCATGCACTGATTAGTAAATCGCAATTCTGTATATATATACAGAACCATTCCGAACTTGGACAAGTCAAGTTTGGAATTTTAGAAGATTGAGAGTTCTTCTTCAACTGTTGACTAAAAAAGTTACATGACGATGTTTGAAGAAAGCATTTGCCCGCATATATGTCCGACAAAACACTGAATTGAACCGTTTGGTTTTATAAAATGACACAGTTTCATTGGCCATAACAAGGCAAAGTATTGTTAGTGCATTTATGTCACTTTTTTGTCGGATTGTCGTGGTATAAGGTCGTTAATCACAACTTTTGATGTTAGATTCACGCCCTCTACGGATATATCTTATGCGAAAGACGTAATATTATAACTTTCTTGACACCTACTATTGCAGAATGTATCCGCCAGCTCTAAATATTAGTAGAAAATTAGATAAAGACATAGAACTAAAAGGCTATCGAATTCCAGCAGGGGTATGTAAACAGTTTTGTACTTGATTGTGAAATGTACACTTTCTGTCTGTGATGCAATTATGGGCATGACTGACGATTACTATGATATGATATGGTAATTGATTGCTCATTGAATATTTATCTTGCATCACCTGAATAATTATATTCGTGTCACATCTAATCTAATATCATTATGATTATATTCTGAAATGCTTGCCTTTAATTTTGACTTGAAAGTTGTAATTACAATTACCTTTGATAGTAGCCCAACAATATTGCGCCATTTCTTCGAAAATCGGAAATGCACTATCATAGCCTACAGTTGTTCTTCATAATAATATATAATCTCATACACATTGTTCAAAACCTACATGATATTACCATTACCAAACATATCCACATGAACTATTTGAAAGTTATTTTTTAGATGGCAATGTCTGGGCAAGTTTTAATGATGGGCAGAGATCCCAGATATTTTAAAGACCCTCTCCAGTTCAAACCTGATCGGTGGCTCAGAGAGAATGAAGAAATACACCATCCATTTGTTGCTTTGCCATTTGGATTTGGTCCAAGGATGTGCGTTGGTAAGTCTGATCTGCAGGTTAATGATAATGTTTCTAATTTCAGTATGTATGACTATGACTGTCTATGATCCAGTAATTACAAAAACATATTTCCAAACGTACATATCATGCCAACTAAAGGCCATTACGCATATATAACATTTTAAAAATAAATTTGTATTAGCCTAAATATAACTAACACGAATACTGATAATGTATGTTTATCACTAGGGAGACGGCTGGCAGAACTGGAAATGAGATTGTTACTGGCAAGGGTAAGCATACATCCGTACATGTTATAGTTCGACATACAATACTTTAACGGTTCCCGAAGAATAATGTTATTAAGGACATATGTAAATTCGTTTCTTTGTGTGCCAATTGTATTTATTTCAAAACGAGATGAATGTATGTATATTGAATGTGGAACCAAATTCAGTTATAAATTTCTATTTTGTTTCATTTTCAAACCAGATTTCAAAGAATTATTGGATTGAGAGCTTAAAAGACGTTGAACCGATGCTGACATCATTATTAGTACCCGACAAGCCAACGCAGCTGAAGTTTACTAAAAAATCTTAAAGTGTGTTCAATTAATGGCCTTCAAGCAACACTTCGGGTTAAGTTATTATCAACAATTATAATTTGGTATTGATTGATATAAACCTGCGTGTATCCGTCTAACTTATTGTTATATTCAGAATATTCTATCACTCGCATGTATCCGGTAGAAAATGATTAAAAATTAATTGTGAAAGTTGTAAGAAAAATGATTTTCTATAAGATAAAGCGGGAGGGTCGTCACCTGCGCACGCGCAGGAATTGAGTCCCAAGTGACGATAACAACACACGCTAAAATCGCAAAGGCTCATGGGTAGACGCTTGTTTGTAGACAATGACACGCTATGGCCATCTGACGCATGCGCAGGTGACGACTCCCCTGCTTTAATAGAAACAAGCATTTATATTGTACACATGTTTGAATCTAATGTCCACACTCTTATTCAATCAAATTCGCCAGTAATTGCAGTATTCCTTATTTTCCAAATATGATTAACTATTATATATCAACTATGAAATATCTTATTGATGGCTGCTCACCCATGTATCTGCTCGTGTGGAGGAGATTTTAAAATGATTGTGAAAAGTATTATCGGAAAGTGAATGTAACTGTACAGTGAAGTTCAAGTAACATATTATTAGGTGTTTTAACGGAGTTATAAATTAACGAACAGATTAACTAAACAATCAGGAAAATCCCAATGAACTATAAAGTTATCAGGAAAGTATTAGTGTCATTGGGTTCATTATCTGAAAATTATCCAAATTAGCGTTTAGGTGTTTCTCCCAGAATATCTGAATACTGTTTTTTTGTTTGTTTCAGCAATACTAGCTAGTTCTCAAACGACTCAACACTCTGGATTCGAACCAATTTTCAGATCATGATAACTCTATTGAATTAGCTAAGCACATGGTTTGTAGTTGAAAGCAACATGTAATTTACTAATTTATAAAGATACGAATCAGGTGCGATTTCGACAGTCACCGGCCAATTGTCCTTCTGTACAAAAAGAGTCACGTAACACATATACACTGCGACAACACACAACTCGCGATTGGGCTGCAAACAACTACCTATTTGCAAAATTCGCAGTATTACTTTGTTAAAGTGCGGCAACTCGGACGCTATCGGTAATCTGATTATCTCAGATGTAGGTATAGACTCTGTTTGTTTTATATACCGTATTCCGGCCGCCTTAACTCCCGAGATACAATATGTATATATAATTATTTTAACGGAATTGATAACCTGGCTGAATTCTGTAATATAACTTTAAATAAACGATCAATAGCGCCATATTGGACAAGACGTCGATTATGAGCGAGGCACCGCAGACTATGTAAGTCGCTGGAGATGCTTCGAATTACTGGCAACATAGTTTTGTTTAACGCGTAAATTTAGTATCTCAAATTTTAATTATCAGTTAACCTAACTTCGAATTACGGGAAATATAAAACAAAACAAAAAACTTATATTGCCCGTAACTCGAAGTTCGGCTAACCACCGTCCCTCTATAGAGGGATAGAGGGACTGTGGGCTAACTGATAATTAAAGGGCGGTAATCGTCGCGCCACGCATGTGCGACATTTGTGTTGGAAAACATTAATTGTCCCACAATCCAATGCGTTCTTCTAATGGAAATCACAAGTATTAATTTTGACCTGGGTGCGACTTGCACTGAATACCGCCGGTGACTCCTTCGATACTTTCCAATCACCTAAAAATTACCTAATTAAAGCTTACGTCTCAGTTTGTACTCGTTGATCTGCGCAACAGTCAAAGTCGCCGTCTTTATTTATATGAGACCCATATATATCGCGCATGCGTGGCGCGACGGCTACCGCCCTTTATAGTTCGAGTTAGTAAATGTGGACGTTTAACAAAAACTAAAATATATATTGCCCGTAACTCGAAGTTCTGTTAAGTGTTAATTGAACATCGAGTTACAATTTGGGCGTGGTTTTGCAAAAGTAGGTGTTGTTTCTAAAATATTGGCGTGGTCATTTTTGTAACCCGATGTTCGTAAATCAATATCCGTAACTCGAACAGTTCAGCATCTCGTGTCGCAGGGGCGTTTATTACTGTCATTGCTCCCGATATAAACAATTATGGCGTTAATTTATTGTTACTCATTTGTTTGGTTGAATCGAACATCTCATGAATAATTAATCACGTGACGTATGCTTAGTTACGTCATTTATGATCATATGATCATACAAACGACAAAAAGTAACAACTCTTGTCTTGTACTGTATGTGAACTCCTTCCATGCTATTGTTCTCAATCATATTAGGTTAACTGGTCTGCATGAACAAAATGGCTGCAAGCAGATTGTTCGTCACTCGATGTGTGCCACCGTCTTCGCCTCAGCTACTGCGAAATCTTGCCACGTCAAACTTTCAGATATCTGTCGACGAGCAGGATGTCTCCCTTGCAGAAGCGAAACCTTTTAAAAGCATACCAGGTCCACCAAAAAACATCCGTATGACGATCAAAGCCTTATACGACATGATAGTGCACAGGTCTTTCCAGAAACCATGGTTGTTATACAAAGAGTTGCATGACAAACACGGCGACATTGTTAACAGTGGTTTTGGGTCTTTTGAAAATATTTTACTGCTGGACCCAAAGGACTTTGAGAAAGTACTTAGGGATGAAGGAAAATATCCACGAAGAATTGACATTTCCCCATGGGTAGCATATCGAGACTACAGAGGAAAAGCAAAGGGCGTACTGTTAACGTAAGTATTTGTTTATATCACATGTTACCCTCATGACCTACAAAACTAGAATTCGAGTTCGCAAATACAAACTGGTTTTGTTCGTGAAATGTTAAATCTTTGTTTTAAAAGGCCCACAACAATGCTCGGTAGCCATATTATCTGGGTATAAGGTGAATAGTGTTTCTATTGTAATTGTCCAGACAATGATTATGGTTATTGAAAGTCAAGCATGTAACGAGGTCAACAACCTTTTCCTTGAGGTCATCAATGACAAGTTTTTTGAAACCCACGCAAGATCATTTATCCCATGTTCAAACTTATATTTCACGTTTTTTAATGTAGTTCAATATCGAGAAACAGACGTAGTGCGCAGTTCGACTCGTACGTGTCATCATTCTCCATGGTCCCAATCCCTAGTTGTGACATTAGCCTAGATTTGCCCACAGTCACTGTGCTTTGCCCATGTAATTGTTTCTTAAAGCGTCACCTGCACATGCGCCAGGTGGCCATAGCGTGTCATTGTTTACAAACAAGCATCTACCCATGAGCTTTTTCGATTTTAGCGTGTGTTGTTATCGTCGCTTGGGACTCAATTCCCGCGCGTGCGTAGGTGACGATCCTCCCGCTTTAAATGACGGTGATCGCTCCGCGCCACGCATGCACGAGGTATGGGTCTTATAAGAACAAAAATGACGACTTTGACAAAGTCTGCTGATATTATAAACAAGGAACCCAGTTTTTTCGTGCTAACAAACTTACCAGCACATACATTATACTAGTTCTCAATATATTTTTTCTAATGTTACAATAACTTTTCAAAGCTCCATCCTCTTACCTGCCACAGGTGTGGATTAGGCATCTTCCTGATGACTTGTTTTGTTTAGTGCCCCACCTAAGCATAATATTGTAGATAATGTTTACGTGTGAATTGGTTAAAGCCTATATCACCAAGCCATTGTAATGATTAGCGCACTTCATCAAAAAATATAACAACTTCCCTAGGGAAACTTCCAATAAGCCCTTACAAGGCGAATTGATTTTGATATGAAGAAGTCCCGTCTTTTGTAAAAACCCAGCAAAACTCACAAACATTGTAATTATATTGTAAGGGGCTCAATCACATCGCATAACAATCCATTTTCTTGGTGGATTAGCTTCGTGACGTGGTTGTTCACGACAATACTGTTTATTCAGGTGCAGTCAACGAGTAAATTTTCAAAAATGTTTAGTATTTATGTTTGATCAGCAGTAACTTATTTTATGATTATTATTAAGGCTTAATTTAACTTGGAGGGGAGAGGTCAATCTGTTCGCAACTCCCCCCTCTCAACCAAATTAAATTGCTCTCCCACTGTTTTTGCTCCCACTGCCCTCTCCCCACTCAGTTTTTGTTCCCCGCTGCTTTCTCCCCACTCGGTTTTGCTCCCACTGCCCTCTTCCCACTCAGTTTTTGTTCCTCGCTGCCTTCTCTCCACTCGGATTTGCTCCCACTGCCCTTTCCCCACTCATTTTTTGTTCCCCATGACCCATTTCACCGGCAACACTTTTTTTAAGAGTTGTACCCAAGTTCAAATTTTGCACTTCTGAAAAATACAATGTACAATCAGTGATTTTGCCCTTACCCGCTCAATCTAAAAATGGAACTGGCCTGCCCTCTGAATAAAAATCTTCTCCTACTGGAATTCCCCTCTGAGAAACCCTATTTTTAATTCCCTCCCACTGAAGATGTTATATTTTGCCTGCCCGCTAAATATCCCTTGCGAACACATTTTTTCACGAACAGCTCCGTTAACTGCACCTGTTTATTCCTGAGTGCTTCCATATAGGCCACATAATATTATTAAATATTCCCCCAGTTTTAGGTTTAGCAAATGACTGCACTAATTATGACTACAACATCGGCCCAGGCTTAGAGAGGTTTTCATTTATTCTCCTAGTGGATGACTGAACACTGGCCCCATCTTCTGTTTGTGTTTTTTCCATCTACACACCACATTTCATACTCACTATCTATCTACGTCAAAATTCTGAGCCAGCATTGAAAGAAATTGACAGAAATTATTAGTATTTTTCACAGCACGGTCCAATAAATTTCACAGTACGAGATCTCTAGAAACTTACAGCTGTCCGATGGTAGTGGGAATTACATGCCAGTCATTAACTGGCCGACATATATGACATTTCTTCGATGATCTATGTACATTTCATATACTTTTCTAGGGAAAATCAAGTCTGGAAACGCAATCGATTGGCAGTCAGTAAACGAATGTTACGCCCCAAAGAAGTGGTTGAATATGCGCCGACTATTAATTCCGTGGTAACCTCCTTTGTAGACAGAATAGAGAGAAAACGTCTCACAGATGAAAACTTTGTTGTACATAGCATTGAACAAGATTTGTTCAAGTATGCCATGGATGGTAAGACTGAAACTTTTTATGATGCAATTGTGGTTCACAAACCACAAATATGAATGCCCCGATGTTCAGAGTTTCCACTAATCATATGTTTTCTTCCAATCGTAGCTGGTGGGAGTGTGTTATTGGATAGTCGACTAAATCTGCTTGATGATAATCTTCACATTGAAGAGGAGGAGTTTATTGAATCTGTACATGGTATCTTCAAGGATTTGATGCCATTGATGGTGATTCCGGTGAAATATCATAGGATACTGAATACTAATTATTGGAAAAGACACACCAAGGCTTGGGATACCATATTTGATTATGGTACGTTCAGTTAATTTGATGGAGCCTATATTCTATAGCCATACACCTCATTTACATTCCAAGGAGCATAAGTATGTTCTATTAGAAACGTATATGTAATGTCAAATTAATGAAATTGAATTTCACAACATTGAATTAAATTTTCATTAAATAAATATATTGGTTTAGGAGAATCTTGAGACGATTTTTTAGATTTTCCGGGTACAACTAAAGGCAGGAATTGAATATTAGTAGTCCAAGTGCAAAACCAGCTTGACCGTTATTCTTATCGCATTTATTTGTCCCAGTCACTTGTCCTCTTTGAATTTGATCAATTTAGATGAAACTTGGAAACAATATTAATGACTCGGGAGTATTGTGATTGTATTTTAAAGTGCAACATGGTTGCTAAGCGACAATTGGTTGTCGATAGGTAGCTTCCAAGAATTAAAAGATAGGTAGATGAAATTTTTACTGAATGCTCTTCTAACCTTACTTTCTTACATATAACACAATTGGAACTATTTCAGGATAATTGGATTCGCTTAAAATTTGCCACTGTAGGGTAGTATGTTCTTGATTTCCTCATTTCTGATATCAATGAAAGTAATGAAAAGAACGAACAAATCAAATATTTATATGAACACAAATGGTGATAAAAAAATGTTCGCCGCTTTGACCAATCAAAAAGCAAAATGTGCATTTTAGAAATTCATAGCAAGCCATGTAACTAAGTAAATGTCCTCTAGGTGCCAGGGCCATATAATCTATCCCCCAGGTGTAATGGCGACTAGATTTATGCCCCAGATTTCAGGGCCACTGAGTGTGTGTCCTCGAGATCTCAGGGACACTGGGTTTATGCCCCAGTCAAATCAGGGTCACTGAATACATGACGCACACAATGTCAGGGCCACTGAGTACATGTCCCCTAAGATGACAGGGCCACTTGGTTTATGCCTTTAAGATATCATAGCCACCAAATACACGTCCCCTAATATATCACAACCAGTATATTTATGCATTTATTTGGATACCAGGAGTGTATGTCCCACGATATCATGGTCACTGAGTACATATCCCCCAAGATGCCTCTTAGGTTATCAAAACCACTAGGTTTATGCCCCAAGATGTCAGGGCCACTTAAGTATATTACGAATACCAGCGCAAAAACTGTAACACTACCCATGCTCAAATGGCGATGTTCGTAGCGCCACGCATGCGCGAGATATGGGTCTCATATAAGCATAGATGGTGACTTTGACTGTTGCGCAGTACAAACTGAGACATTACCAAGCTTTAATTTCTTTGGTGATTGGAAGGTATCGAAGGAGTCACCAGTGGTAATTATTGCAATTCAGGTCAAATCTCTTACTTATGATTTCCATTAGCAGCACTTCTGCTATGGATGTAATTTGACATGTAACATGTATGACCCAACCATATTCTTGAATAACTTAACTATTAGTATATACGTATTAAGGCAAACTCAGACTTCAAACCTGGACCCGACAAAGCTGCTCTGTTATTTTTGAATTTACTCAATGCTCAGTGTGCTTTTGTGAAAACTAAAGTTCACCTAATTTGCACATTTGATAATCGATTTTTCATATTTAATTGATTTCCAGTTGATTCAATATACCTCAAACCAATACATATCAACGAAATGTTTTGATTCATAATACACTAAATTCAATGTGATTGTTTGGTCATCTCCGGCATGCTTTGCGATTCTCTTCTCCAGTACATTCAGCATGACTTTTACTCTAAGGTAATGTTTTCTCTTTTTAGCAAAGAAATTGATTGATGACAAAATAAACAGAGTCTACAAGGAACTGAAAAATGACAATCAGACAGAGAAAAAGGCAGATTTTCTGACATACTTAGTTCAGCAAAACAAAATAAGTGTGGAAGAAATATATGCTAATTGTACTGAACTATTGGCTGCTGCAGTTGATACAGTAAGTTTGTTGTATTTGTCTGTCTGTCTGTTGTCTGTATGTATGTCTTTAACCAAATTAATGAATGTTTAATATATTGTATCATGAAAGAAAACTTTGAGGTTTGATAAGTAAGTCATGGAACATCTCCTGTATTGTGCGTTTTAACTTTCGCCTGTGAAATAAAAAACGAAAGTCCTTGAGTTTGTCGTGACAGTCTGCACGTGCCTGTGCATGTGCGTGCATATTTCAAACTTTTATTCTAGATTACTTTGACAAATATACAGAATGTGCCAAACATATAGACATATATAATCTGTGTATTATACTTTTTGATTGAAAATGAATTGGGGGATGCCAGTTCATAAGTGGAAATGTATTGGTACGTGTAGCTAAGCGATTCGATGACGTACATTTGCATCAGTTCAACTTACATCTACAGTGCAGTAGATACATTTTACCTCGTATATTCAGTGTTATTTCCGTAATTTACTTACAATTTTATCATCAACTTTATTATTATTATTACTTGTAAGACTTCCAATACAACGCTATGGTGTATTTACATGCTGGCTAGTAATCCGGATGCTCAGGAACGTCTTCACCAAGAAGTGAAGAAAGTTATTCCCGACAATGAGATACCAATGCCTAAACACATCGATCGCATGCCATATTTGAAAAGTGTAGTGAAAGAAACATTGAGGTAATGTGTATGGTCATACACTGAGTTGAAATACAATATACCGCGATTATGTACACAAGGAATTTGCCCATGTTGTAATAAAAATGAACTACAATGATAATAATACTATTTATTTGCTTATTATTCGCTCTTGTATTTAGCATGCGACAAACTACTGAACTATATACATATAGCTCAATTTTATTTTATAATAATTGTTTTATTTTATGGGGCTTATATATTTTTAAGACATATCATAACGGAACGAGTCGTGTTCAACATTTTATTAACTCTGTAATCCTATTAAAATGTTTTCTTTACAACTTACTCCGCGTTCTAGATGCATCGACCAACAAAATCAACAACCTATTAACTTGTACTTTCAAGCACTATCTTATGACTTTGAAGAGATGTATTTGTTAGAAACATTTATTTACAATGAACGCATATTTATGACAAAAATTGTGTTGACATATATTGTAGATTGTACCCGCCAGCCATAAGTATAAGTAGAAGATTAGATAAGGACATAGTACTGAGAGGATATCGAATTCCAGCAGGGGTATGTAAAACAATATGATGTGCGAGTAACTTGGTGCTGGTTATTGAATGTACACAATTATTTTGTGTCGTTATTGTGGTTTACCGCGTTTATCAAAAGCAGCATTATGTTGTTGTTTTGATTGTTCTGAAATTATATGGTTGGTGGTTGTTTAGTGTTCTTCTGACATTCCTGGCCACTCAAACATTTGAAGTAGGTAATCATATTGTGACGCTTTTCATGCTTGCACAAATTAACTTTATGTTTTAGTAAAGAAGAAATGTTAAAATAATGTCTAATTAAATACTGCCATCGCACGTTCGCATATCAAAACCACCAAATTCATCCACGTAGTTATTGTTTTACAATTGTAATTCTTATTCATTTAGAAAGTCATATCTGGGCAAATTTTAATGATGGGCAAAGATCCCAGATATTTTGAAGACCCTCTCCAGTTCAAACCTGATCGGTGGCTCAGACAGAATGGAGAAACACGCCATCCTTTTGTTTCCTTGCCATTTGGATTTGGCTCAAGAATGTGCCTTGGTAAGTTGGATAAGCAGTTTCACTCAGACTGATCCCGCAAAGTATGACCACGATTGTATACGATTTAAGGTTATTTAATTACATTTTACACTCTTATAATTACACTTCCATCTTTAATCTCATACGTACATTATATATAATACGGATTGTATACCCTGTATCACTGTCTGTGTAATATATACTGACAATGTAAATTAGGATAAAGTCACGATTTTTGGATTTTAAATATTTGACATCTTTGGTATGTTCATATTGCTAGGAAAAAGACTGGCAGAACTGGAAATGCATCTGTTACTATCAAGGGTAAGCACATGTTTAACCAATATCGCATGTCACTTCTCTGACATACAAGACTATGGTAGCACAACCTGATGAGAAAATGCTATTCAGGAACGTAATTCATAGTTTTCATTTGCATAACATATTACCAATCATGCAGTTTCGTTATATGTCAGGTGGCGGCCTATTATCTATGTAATATATATATATATATATATATATATATATATATATATATATATATATATATATATATATATATATATATATATATATATATATATCAAACGCAATCTATAGTGTGCAATTCTGAATCAATAAACTCTTTTTTTTCAATAGGAGAATGAATGTTATTGAGTTATCGCTTTTAAATTGATATTCACAGCTACTGATGATTGAACTAGTTATATTATCAAATATATTATAATATATATTACAGATCTCACAGAATTATTGGATTGAAAGTTTATGTGACGTTGAGGCAATTTTGACGTCATTATTAGTACCAGAAACGCCAACCCAGCTGAAGTTTACAAGAAAATCCTGAAGTTTGCTACTTTATTGCAGACACTTTGTGATTTTGTTATGTACAGTATCTGCACTTAAATTAATAGTTGAAATTATTTATTTCATAGATTTCAAAAAAAAAAAAAAATAAGTAAACCGTGCCATTTTTTAGCTCCGCTGTCGATTAGTCGAGCAGAGTTTATCATATAAGTGATTGTCCGCCGTCGTCCGTGTCAACGTTTTATTTTTTCGACTTCCTCTTGAAAACTACAATTGTTATTGCTTTGATACTTGGTGTATATAATATACTGATATCTTCAATTCTCTAATTTTGATGAATATTTTTGTCATATTTTTAACTTCTTGTTAAAAGCCGCAAGTCCGATTGTTTTGATAGTATATATATAGGTACCTCAGGTGGACCTCTTTAAGATTTTTTTCATTTTTTAATGATATCTTCAGTTCTGTTATTCTTCACAAAACAGTTATAATTTTTATCAAGCCATTGGATCATGTGGGCAATGCAATACGCTGCACTTAGATTGAGTACTGAGCTGAGATGTGTCAACCAATGTTGACAATACCCGTGTCAACAACTGTGATGATGTTGGTTACTATATATGATATTAAAAACTCAAACAATCTCTTTCAAATGTGTAAAATAGTCCTGCTTTTTCAAAATAGTCCACGACTTTAAGCTAATTGAAATGTATCAGACTAACATTGTTTTATTTTTCACATAATTACGATAGAAATTATATTAAGTTGTATGACCTTATTTTATATTCGCCATACTTAACCTAAGATAATTGAACAGATTGGAATATTCTCTCTTTTATACAGAAAATGACGTATCACAACCTTTATTAGTATATATCAGTTCTACATATCCTACATTTTTCTAATTTAGATATGCAATTCAAATTCATTCAGTTTTATATATTTTTTTATCTATATGTCAATAATTCGTGTGTTAATTCACGTTTACTACCCGTAACCATTATTGTAATTATATCACTTTTACTTCGTGTCTATTGGCAAAAGAATGATATTTACTTTTGACATCAAACTATTTTAGTTTAGAGTCGTCGTTTACTAATCGTTAGAGACCTGTTGATGATGTGGGTTGAATTCTTTGGCCAACTTGTTCAATAAGAAAACCATCTCTTCGTCTTTGTCAACTAAGCCGTTGCCAGTTGACTAAAGCTGCAGGGCTTAGCCAAGGTCTAATTTACAATAGCCGTGTACAAATTATTTTAAAGGTATAGGGCTGGGATAATGTCGGTTTAAAAGTTAAATAAAGACATTACTTATATAACAATGTTGTGTCATCATTAGACGCCAGCAACCACTGCTGTGCAACTTCTCCAGCACTTATAACGGCTTACTTTCTGCACCAGCACACAATTCGGTGCATATGTGAGCTAGGAAATATATTCATATTTTTTTTAAATGGAAAGGTAAATAATTTTTACAATCTACCACAAATTACAAGACAACTAAAACCTTTCGAAGCTTGATTAGGCTTGACTGGGCTCCGGTTGTTTGACTATAAGCTAGATATCTGTTACACACAAAAGTAGGGTCTAACGCATTACCACCCAAAACAGATCTATGGTATTTTTTCCCATTTAGTCGATATATAAAAGCCGTATATTGTTGCATTTTTAATAAATTATAATAGACAAATTCAACGAAAAATTGACGAAAAGTCTAACTATGTACTGATTTGCCTTTTTAGATTGTACAAGCATAACATACACCGGGAAAACATTAGAGACAACACATTTTAAAACGATATATATAGTAATACAAAGAAAGTATTGTATTTTATATAATTATTGTGTTGCATTATTTGTGCATTTAGTTGGATGGAGAAAGACAATGTTTTCTAAAAAAAAATATTTCTTGTCATGTCTTGTTGTAGTGGTCACTTCTCCGTATTTTACCACTGGACGGTCATGAATATATTTCCCGCATGATACAGATATTTATGTGTTCATTAGGTTGTAAGTAAGATATTTCAAAGAAGGTTTACTGGCCTACTAGATTGAAGGAGACTGAAAGAAGTAAGGATTGGATAATCATCTTGTTTGATCTTAAAAATAAGATCTACTAAGTGGTTAAGTCGATGACACGCATGGAGTAACAGATTCCTTGTGTCACCAAGTAACCTGTAGAATACTGTGTGGGTAATATTTTTATATTGATTTTTGTTGCATTTGCAGCAAATAGTAACCAAACAATGAGAAATCTATAGGATTGGATATACCTCTCAGCTGGCTTCACATGCATAGTAAGTTCAAGATTACCTAACCGGTGCTTACACCAAGATTTAGTTACAGCACCTGACGGTCTGTGGTTACAGCTTCATGTTCCAAGTAATCGCATTGACATTACAATAGAAAATCATGAAAGACTGGCACTCCCATGCAATTAATAGCGAGTGAAATTCCTGGGATTGAAACATATATTTTGAAGTCACTGATGTAGGCAATGAATAACTTCAACTGGGTGAAATGATGTTTTGGGGTGTAGTTTACATTGTGTATGGAGTGGTAGGGTCGGGTGTAATTTGTTCATTTCCAACTCTTATGAAGTCACGTAGAATTTCACTTAATTTATTTTTGCTGACATGTTTTCAAGCATAACG